ACAGTGAGAAAAGCTACCTAATAAAAGAAGTATTTTAATGCTTGTTAGATATTTGTTTATCAAATTTCCCTCTTGACAAGAATCAGTGAGGGCACCTGTTAAATAGACACATGTCTGGCAGGGCCTCATCCCAGAGGTCCAGGAAGGTTGGCTGGTGGGGTCTGACGGGTTCCCTGCTGGCTCCCACCATCAGCAGAAGCACTCAGTTGAGTTTCTTTGCTGGGCCCAGCCCTCACCCATTCTGTCTTTTTCTGTGGGGAAAAAAAACCCCAGCAGCAGCAGCAGCAGCAGGGCCCTTTAACACTGACTATTCTGTTTCTCCAGCCGTCAGAAGGTATGGTCTCCAGGAACATATATGAACACGTTGCATGCTTTTGTGCGAAGAGTCAGGAGACATGGGATTTAGCTTGGTTTCTGCCATGAAACAGCAGTGGGACCTTGGGCGAGTCCCTTTTCTTGACCTCAAGTTCCTGTTATGGAAAGAGTGGAACCTATCTGTCCTTCCCCCTTAATATAAAACTCCTGCTTTAGCTTAGCCTCTGAAGGTCTTGCAAAGGCTAAATATATATAGCTAAGTTTCCTACTCAGAGCAACCCTACAGGACAGGGTAGAATTGCCCCATGGGCTTTCCTAGACTTCATCTTTATGGAAGAAGCCCTGGTGGTGCAGTGGTTAAGCACTCATGTGCTAACTGAAAAGGTCGGCCGTTCGAACCCACCCAGCTGCTCCATGGAAGAAAAGACCTGGCAATGTGCTTCCAAAACCCTATGGGGCAGTTCTATTGTGTCCTACAGGGTCACTGAGTTGGACTTGACACCAATGGGTCCTTTTAGTTTATTGGTTTCAATTTTTACAAGAGTAGATCAGCAGGTCTTCTCTCCCATGGAGTGGCTGGGTGGGTTCAAACCACCAACCTTTTGGTTAGCAGTCAAAGGCTTAATCACTGGGCCACCAGGGCTCCTTAGAGCTCCTCACCCCCCAGGTAGTTCATATGTAATTAAATGCAAATGTGGGGGGGAAGATGGGCTATTTGTAATGTATATAATTACTTTGGGTGGGGTAGGCTGGATAGAGATCATTTGGTTGGTTGGTTGAAGTTCGGGATTCGTTGGCAGCAGCCCTGGAATTGGACATACAAAGCTGCAAACATGGCACCTTTCCCAAGGAGCCGTAAAGCCCGGAGCTACTGGCTGAATGTCAGACTGTCCGACCTCCAACTCCAGGGTCTCCTACAGTGTTCCACTGTGACCTGGATTTTCCCAAGTAATTAGCTTCTGCTTTGGCAGTCTGACCTCCCTCCCTGCCTTTGGCCACTAACCAATCAGTGAATTGAGATAGAGCATCCTTCCTAACACACCAAGAAATACACTTTGAAACTGCACTCTTGGCTTTGCCAATCAGAGAAGAGAAAGGGTGTGCAAAGGCTTGCTTTTCATTTCTGTACTTTGGCTTCCCAATTATTACCTCTTATTGAAGAGAGA